CAACGACTGAGCCTCCCAGGCGCCCCCCCAACATTTGTTTTTCTGGTGGGAGCCGTCCTCATGGTTACGAAGTGGGATTTCATCGTCATTTTGATTTGCATTTCCCTCATGACTAATGACCTTGAGCACTTTTTCACGTACTAGTTGGCTGTTTGCAGATCTCCCGTGGAGAAGTGTCTATTCCAAGTCCTTGGCCCAGTTTGAAATTCGGTTTATCTTTTGTTCTTGGATTATAAAAATTGGTTGTACATTTTGGATACCAGTCCCTTATCCAGAATACGATTTGGAAATAATTTCTCCCATTTTGTGGTATATTTTCATTTTCTTGATAGTGTCCTATGACACACAAGAGTTTTAATTTTTTTTTTAAGTTTTTATTTAAATTCCAGTTAGCTAACATACAGTGTTACATTAGTTTCAGGTGTACAATACAGTGATTCAGCACTTCCATTACATTACCCAGTGCTCATCCCAAGTGCCCTCCTTTAAGCCCATCACCTATTTAACCCAACTCCCCACCCACCACCCCTCTGGTAACCATCAGTTTGTTCTCCATAGTTAAGAGTCTGTTTCTTGGTTTGTGTGTCTCCTACTGCACCCCTTTGCTTGTTTGTTTTGTTTCTTAAATTCCACATATGACTGAAGTCATATTTTTCCAAAGAAGACATCTGGATGGTCAACAGACACATGAAAAGATGCTCACCATCACTCTTCATCAGGGAGATACGAATCAAAACTACAGTGAGGTATCACGTCACACCTGTCAGAATGGCTAAAATCAACAACACAAGAAACAACAGGTGTTGGTGAGGATGCGGAGAAAAGGGGAACCCTCTTGCACAGTCAGTGGGGATGCAAGCTGCTGCAGCCACTCTAGAAAACACTATGGAGGTTCCTCAAAAGTTAAAAATAGAACTATGACTCAGCAATTGCACTCCCAAGTATCTAAAGGGTACCAAAAAAGTGATTCGAAGGGGCACATGCACCCCAGTGTTTACAGCAGCATTATCAATAACAGCCAGATTATGGAAAGAACCCAAATGTCCATCGACTGATGAATGGATAAAGATGTGGTATATATATACAATGGAATATTACTCAGCCATACAAGAGAATGAATCTCGCCATTTGCAACGAGTGGATGGAGCTAGAGTTTTGTGCTAAGCAAAATAAGTTCGTCAGAGAAAGTTTTAATTTTGATAAAGTCCTATCTATTTTTTCTTTTTTTGCTTTATCAGACCTAAGAAATTATTGCCAGATCCACCAAGGCTGTGAACATTTACCCCTATGTTTTCTTCCAAGAATTTTTCTAGTTTCTCTTCAGTTAAGTCTTTGCTCCTTTTTCAGTTAATTTGCCATATGTCTGGGAGAAAGTACCAGTTTCATTCTTTTGCATGTGTTTACCCAGTTGCCCAGCATTTCTGTAGGAGACTGTTCTTTCCCCATTGAACTGTTTTTACTCCCATGTCAAAAATTGACCTCAGACGTAGGAGTTTAAATTCACTCAGTCCTATTCCATTGATCTCTGTGTCTGTCCTTGTGCCAACGTGTGCCAATGTGTCCGTTACTCTGGCTTTGACATAAGTTTTGATGTCAGGAAGTGTGGGAGTTCCTATTTTGTTCTTTTCCAAGACTCTTTTGTCTATTTGGGATCCTTTGCAAATCCATATGAATTTGAGGCTCGGGTGTGTCCATTTCTGCAAGTAAATGCTGTTGGAGTTTTGGTAATGATTGCACTGAAACTGTAGATCGCTTTGGCTAATATTGTCACCTTAGCAATATTAAGTTTTCCAATACACATCTTTCTGTTACTAATTTTTTATTTGATTCTATTATATTCAGAGAAAATACTTCGTATGATTTCACTGTTTTTAAATTTATTCAGGCTCATTTTATGGCCTAACATGATCTGTCTGTTCTGGAGAATGTTCCATGTGCCCTTGAGATGAATGTGTATTCTGTTGTGAAGCGGAGTATTTTGTATGTCTGTTAGGTCTAGTTAGTTTGTAGGGTTGTTTAAGTACTCTTTTTCCTTGTTAACCTTCTAACTAGTTGTTCTACCCATTGTTCAGAGTGGGGTGTTCAAGTCTGCAACTATTGTAGAACTCTCTATTTCTTTCTCCCTTCAATTCTGTCAGTTTGAAATTTAATATTGTAGAATTCTGTTGTTATTGGTCTGTAATTGTTACATCTTCTGGATGAATAGACCTTTTTATCATTAAATAATATCTTTGTGTCTCGTAACAGTTTTTGTCTTAAAGTCTATTTTGCCTGAAGTTAACGTAGCTACATTCTCTTTTGGCTTCTCTTTGCATGGAATATATTTTTCTATCTGTTGACTTTCAACCTCTTAGTGTGTTTAGTTGTAAATTGAGTAATGTAATTGAATAATGTAAATTGAATCTTCTACGGGTAGCATATAATTGGGTATTTCTTAACTATTCTGCCAAAATCTGCCATATAATTGGACAGATTAATCCATTTACATTTAAGGTAATTACTGATAAAGACCCACGTAGATCATCTTGCTATTTTCTACATGTCCTATTCCATTTTTGTTCCTCAGTTCTTGCATTGTTATTTTTGTGTTACATGTTTCCTAAGGGACCATTTTGATTCCCTCTCATTTCTTTTTGTTTTTGTTTTTGTTTTTTTTTTTAATGATTGTCCTGGGGATTACGATGAACATTTTAATTTATAGCAATCTATTTTGATTTAGTACCAATTTTGTTTCAATAGCATACGAAATTTTTGCTCTTGTATAGGTGTGCACACACGCCCCTTTATATTGCTTTGTCATCAATTACATCTTTATACCTTGTGTGCGCATTAACATAGATTCATAATTATTGGTTTAGGCATTCCTCTGGTAAGTCATATAAGAAAAAGAGGAGGGGCACCTGGGTGGCTCAGTTGGTTAAGCGACTGCCTTCGGCTCAGGTCATGATCCTGGAGTCCCGGGATCGAGTCCCGCATCGGGCTCCCTGCTCGGCAGGGAGTCTGCTTCTCCCTCTGACCCTCCTCCCTCTCATGCTCTCTGTCTCTCATTCTCTCTCTCTCAAATAAATAAATAAAATCTTTAAAAAAAAAAAGAAAGAAAAAGAGGAGAATTTCAAGCCAAAAATATAATTATTATTGGCTTGCATATTTTCATTTGTCAGGTTCTTTATTTCTTTGTGTGGATTTGAGTTAATAACCATTATCCTTTCATTTCAGTCTGAAAGTCTCCCATTAGCATTTCTTGTAGGACAGATATGCTAGTGATTTCTGTGTCTCTCAGTTTAGCCTGCTTGAGGTTTCTTAAGCTTCTTGGTTGTGTACATGTGTGTCTTTCATCAGTTTTTTGGAAGGTTTTGGCCATTATTTCTTCAAATATTCTTTCTACCTCATTCTCTTCTCCACTTAAGGAACTCCCATGATATGTGTGTTGGTATGTTGGATGATATCCCACAGGTCTTTAGGGCTCTGTTCATATTTTTTTCATTCTTTTTTTCTTTCTGTTCTTCCAGTGAGGTGTAATATAAATTGTCCTGTCTTCATGCTTATTGATTCTTTCTTCTGCCTGCTCACATATGCTGTTGGACACACCTCTTCTGACTTTTTCATACCAGTTTTTGTACTTTTCAACTCCAAAATTTCTATGTAGTTTCTTTTTGTAATTTCTATTTCTTTAACATGTATTCTATTTCATGAGAATTCATCCTTATGGTTTCCTTTATTCTTTATACACAGTTTTCTTTTGGTCTTTGATGTACTTTAGTTGATTTAAATTCTTTGACTAGAAGTCTGGTGGTTGGGCTTCCTCAGGGAGGAATTTTTTTTTTCTGTAATGGGCCACACTTTTGTTTCTTTGCCTGCCTCAGAATTTTGTTGTTGAAAAATGGACATTTGGAACATTATTATATGGCAATTCTGGAATCGGATTTTTCCCCATCACCAAAATCTGTTGTTGTTGCTTGTCGTATGTATGTTTAATGATACTCCTGAACTAATTTTGTAATGTCTGTATTTGTCATGTGTGGTCCCTGAAGACTTATGTTAACCTCATGGTTAGCTAGTAGTTTGTCAGAGATTTTCTTGAAGGCCTCAAACAAAAAGTAAAAAACCTGTGGTCTCTGCAGATGTGTTCTGTGTGTGTGTATAGGGATATACCTTCAAAATCAGCAGGCAGTTTACAACTCTGCCATAATTTTCACTTTCTTTTCTGAGCATGTGCCCAATCCTGGCCTTCTCAGATTCAAAGAAATGGGAGGGAAACTTTTAAAAATTCCCCAAAACATTTTATTCCTCACTTTTCCTCCCAAGCTCCTTGGTTAGTCTTTTGTTTTCCTGTACTATTTCATAGGCCTCAGGCAGTGTGGCTAATATATTTGCCTTGAAATGTGTTCAGCACATGCCCCCTGAGTCCCCAGCACAGCCCACGGAGAGTTTGAGATTAGATAAAGGCAAGCCCTTTGAGTCAAACCTTCAGAAAGATCAAAACAAACAACCACAGAACTTTGAGAATAACGTCCATCCTGCTCCCTCTGCTAGTAGGAATGTGGGCTGTGATCTTCAAGGTCACAGCCAAAGCAGGGAATAGAGGATGAGACAAGGGTTAGTGAAAATGTCAGCTGGTTGTTGTTCTTGATTAAACATTTTCCAAGTTGCTGTAAACTTTTGGTAAGTTTCCAAAGTTCTGATAAAGCTGATTCTAATGGTTTTCCCCACTTTATTCACTGTTTTTGTAGAGTTATGGACTTCTGGTTCAGTATCCCTCAGTTTTCACTGTTGTTACTTCTCACTGGTCTTTCTGAAGCACTTCTGAGTTCCTGGGTCTATGCTGGGTTTAGGAATACGGTGTATTCATCATACAGTGGTGAATGAGACAGACGTGGTCCCCACCCTCCTGGAGCTTTCTGTCTGATGCCTTCCCTGTGAACTGAATAGCTGTTCCTTACCCTGACTTTATATTCTCCATGGTTAAAAGCTTTAGAGCTTCTGAAGTATGTATGTAAACTTGGACGTGGACTTTGGGACTGTTTATGTCCTGTCACCTGGATATTGAGTGTGCTTGAATTTTGGTTTCTTGGGAGTTACTATATTCATGACAATTTATGTGTACTTATTCCACTGCTGCAAAAGTCGTACTTGATCATCTTCAGAATCATTGGCTCCAGTTTCACGGGGTTGCTTGTCACCTGGAGTGACAGGTGACCCAACGCCGTGTGTCTTGTCTCCATGAATAGGGTATCATATTGGTAAACCCAGTCTGATCTCCCATTTGGAGCAAGAAGACAAAGTGATGACAGAGGAGCGAGGAATTCTTCCAGGCACCTGTCCAGGTGAGCACCAGGTGGACAGGTGGATGTGAGTCTTTTTGAGGAATAGCTCTGGCCAGTGATTTGGGGCATGGGAGTATTACATTTAGGAAATGTCCAACAGGGAAGTTTGTACAATGTACTCTTCTCTGACCAAGATGGCCAAGAACGTTGGGTATGAGCTTCCTTGTGTCCGTTCTTTCTTTCCTTTTTACCTTTCTCTTCAACATCTCATAGGTTACCTTGGAGTCAGATGGGGAAAAAAAAAGACATAGCTCTTCTCCTTCTTTTTTTTAACTGAAGTGTAGTTACATACAGTGTTACATTAGTTTCAGGTGTACAGTGTAGTGACTTGGCAAGTTTATAAGTTATACTCTGCTTACCACAAGTGTAGCTACCATCTGTCACCATACAATACTATAATAGTCCTTTTCCTTTTTAAGTAAATCTCATATGAACACTTTGTCCAGTGCCTTCCTACTTTGCATTCCTGATAATCCCTTCCTCTGTAGATCTCTGATCAGTCTTTTTTTTTTTTTTTTTTAAAGATTTTATTTTATTTATTTGACAGAGAGAGAGAGACAGACAGCTAGAGAGGGAACACAAGCAGGGGGAGTGGGAGAGGGAGAAGCAGGCTCCTGGCCGAGCAGGGAGCCCGATGGGGGGCTTGATCCCAGGACCCTGGGATCGTGACCTGAGCTGAAGGCAGACGCCTAACGACTGAGCCACCCAGGCACCCCAATCTCTGATCAGTCTTAATCCTTCAAAACCACTTTTTAAATATCTATACTCTTCATACTCTTATCCCTTGCATGGCAAACCTCCTCAAAAATGCTGATCCCTCAGAGTCTGTGTTTACTCATGTGTGCACTTTACTATTTCTTTTCTCCATCAACTTAAATTTTTTTTTTTTTCCAGATTTGGAGACTGTACTTAAAGCCAAATGGTTAACTCCTAAGAAGCATGATTTTAGAAAAGAACATTCCAATGGTATAAAAGCGGTAAGACTAACATGGCTGATTTCTGGTTTTTCACAGTAGGAGAATAAGTTAGGAAAGTCACAAAGTAAACAGTCATTAAAGGAAAGTCATTTACACAATATGAAATTGTGTCTCTGGAGAGATACTGTGAAAAGTTGTGAATTTGGAGAAAACTATAAGTTAGCTCCAAACTTGTTTCTTCACTGGGAGTTTCCACAAGTAAATATTTCCTTAAATGTGACTAAGATATTGACTGTTGAAATACAAAGTGGTTTATCAGAGTTTATTGGAAGATGTTCTATGAATACGATAAGGACTTGTGGCAAAGCATCCATCTTTTTTAACTTCTAAGAGTTCAGACTGGGCAGAAGCCATATACAAGCACTGAAAATAGCCAAAACATCAATTGTAATAATGTAACAGAATTCCTAGGAAAGAGTTCATATGCATAAAATTAATTGAATATTAAAAATACTATAAATTATAGTTATCATTCATCTCTTAATCAACAGGAAAGAAATCATCTTGGAGTGAAACTCAACGAATGTAATCAGTGCTTTAAAGTCTTCAGCACAAAATCTAACCTCACTCAGCACAAGAGAATTCATACTGGAGAAAAACCCTATGACTGTAATCAGTGTGGCAAATCCTTTAGCAGTAGATCTTACCTTACTATTCATAAGAGAATACATAATGGGGAGAAACCCTATGAATGCAATGACTGTGGGAAAGCCTTCAATGATCCCTCATCCCTTAGACTGCACGTGAGAATTCACACTGGAGAAAAACCCTATGAATGTAATCAGTGTTTTCATGTTTTTCGCACTAGTTGTAACCTCAAAAGCCACAAGAGAATTCATACGAGAGAGAATCACCATGAATGTAATCAGTGTGGCAAGGCCTTCAGCACGAGGTCCTCCCTTACTGGGCACAATAGTATTCATACAGGGGAGAAACCTTATGAGTGCCACGACTGTGGGAAAGCCTTTAGGAAGAGCTCATATCTGACACAGCACATGAGAACTCATACTGGAGAAAAACCCTACGAGTGTAATCAGTGTGGAAAATCCTTTAGCAGTAGCTTTTCTCTTACTGTGCACAAGAGAATTCATACTGGAGAGAAACCCTATGAATGCAGTAACTGTGGGAAAGCATTTAATAATCTCTCAGCTGTTAAGAAACACGTGAGAACTCACACTGGAGAAAAACCCTACGAATGTAATCATTGTGGAAAATCTTTCACCACTAACTCTTACCTTTCTGTGCACAAGAGAATTCATAATAGGTGGATATGAATACAATAACTGGGAAAGCAGTCATTGATTTCTTAATTCTCAGACAACTGATGGTAACTCACTGGATGTATGAGTTATCTGTTGCTCCATAACAAATTTCCCTCCAAACCATAGTGGCTTCAGACAACGTACATTAATTATCTCACAGTTTCTGTAGGTCAGGAATTTGGAAGCAGCTTAGCTGTGTAGTTCTGGCTCAGGATCTGTCATGAAGTGAGGTCAAGAAGTCAGTTGGAGCAACACTCATCTGAGGCTTTACTGCTGAAGAATCTACTTCCAAAGTGGATCACTCACATGTCTGGCAGGTTAATGCCAGTTGTTGGCAGGGAACCTTCATTACCTCACTCTCCACAGGGCTAAGTATCTTTATGATGTAGCAGCAGGTTCCTCCCAAAGCATTTGATCTGTGGGAGAGCTAACGCACAAGCCACATTGTCTTTTTCAACGTAGCCTCAGAAGGACATATGATCACTTCTTGCAGACTGTATTGCTCACACAATGTGGAAAGAAACTATACAGGGTATGTATAGTAGGAGACAGATCGTAAGGAACCATCTGAGAAGCTTGCCATTCTCATTCTTTCAGTCTGTTCTATATGAAGGAGCCTTCGCCAACTCATGTTAATTCACTCTGGAGAGAAACCGCAAGCGTGCAGTCTTTGTGGTAAGCTTTCAACTCAGACTCACCCTAATGTGCACAAAAGATTACTTCCGGGGAGAAACCTGAGGAATGCGGTAGCTGTAGGAAAGCCTTCGTGATATTTCTAGGGAGTCACATGACAGTTCACACTGAGGAGAAAACCTTATGAATATCATCAGAGTGCAAAAGCCTTCAGGGACACCCATCCCTGAGAGCACATGTAAGAAATCACTACAGAGGAATATTCACAGAAAGAAGGTGGAAAACCCTTCAGCACAAGTGTTTGCATTACTGAGCAAAAGATGGGGAGATAATCTGAACACAATTGCTGTGGGAAAGCCTTGAATGTTCTCTCAGTTTCTAAGAAGCATGAGGATTTATCCCGGAGAGAAGGTCCTGTTGAATGTCATCAGTCCCGGAAAGTCATTTTTCCACATTCCTTAGGAAACTGAGAATTCACTGCAGACACTCATGAATATAAAGACTGAGGGAATGCCTTGAATAATACCTCGTACAGTAGGAAAAATACGAAGTTTTCTCTGGATGCAAAACTTGTCAGTGTATTAATTTGGAAAAATCTTGCAGTGATTCTTTGTTGATTTGTGAGAACTTACATTGGAGGCAGACCCTAGAGAAGTAGTCAGTATGAGGATGCCTCAGCTCTTTACTGAGTGGCCACAAAATAAACTAGGAACCGAAAGAATAAATAGTGAGTGTGGGATTACCTTTATCAATGTCTCATCCTAAGATTGGGCCACTAGTACGTTAGCTTTCAGTCTTTTTGTTTTAGTATAAACACATATCTATAGCCGTACCCAAAAATAAACCTTAAGTTATGTCCCATAGTTTTGTATGTAATATGTTTGCTATAATTTACTCTTTTAAAACGTCAGTACGTAGCATATCCAGAAAGGCATTTCTGATTATCTCCTGAGTGAATTTGTTTATTGTAGTGGAAACTAGATTCTATTTACAATATACTTTTTCTAGTTTAATGGCATCTTTGTCAGGTAAGTGGATTTATGATGCTGATTCTTTTTTATCTTTCTACCCTAGTATGGCATTTTGTTCAGCTTCTTTCCCAATGTCCATTCTCCCCTACTTATTTACTTTTTAAAAATGTTTTTGTTGTTGTTCAAGTTGTCAATGAGTAGGATTGAAAATACTCAATCTGCAAGGCTTCTTTGAAGCTCAGAGGGCTATTGCCTTACTCTGCTGACCATGAGAAGTAGGTAGAAGTCCCTGGGGAGAAGAACGTCATCTGACTTGTTTGCCTCACCTATATCCTGTTCGTCTTACCCGTTCTTTCTCTTGAAAGTGGACTCAAGGCCAAGAGTTGGAAGAGCTCTGTTTTGATCATGATGACAGAAACCATAGGGCAGCAAAAAATCACAATGATATGGGCTCCCCCAAAACTTCTGATTGGTGGAATCAGCTCTGGACTGCTTGTTCCCAGACTTGTCCTATATGATTAAAAGTAACCTCTAACTGGTTGAAGCCAAAGTCTTTTTTTTTTTTTTTGGTTTGTTTTTGAGGTGGTATTCTGTTCATGTCCAGCTGAATGCAATATCTAACTAGTAAACCTATTTGTTGGTCACATTTTTTAAGTGTTTCATGTTTCTTTGAAAATAATGTATATTCTCTAAGTTTTAGATGTAGAGTATATGCCCATTAACTCAAGCTAATTGTGTTTTCAGATGTAGTATGTACATTGAGATTTTTGTCCTCAAATTTATTTAGTGGTAGATATGTATTAAAGTCTTCTGCTATGGATATGGATTCACACTTTTTTTGTCATTTCTGTCATCTTTTTCTTTATATATTTTGATGTATAAGTACATTCAGGATTAGGTTTTTTTTTTCTTGTGAATTGTTCCTTTTTATGTTGGGATCATTTTTTTATAGTGGATTATTTCAGTACATTAATAAATGACTAAACATTTACATAGCCCTTCCTATAGATGAGGCACTCTTCCGAATGCCTTATGGATATTATTGAGTACTCAATATAAGCTTAAGGAAGTATGTACTATTATTATCCCCATTTTACAGTAGAGAAAACTAACATGGTATACCTGTAACTTGCCTGAGCTCCCTGGCTAGTAAATGGTAGAGCCCAGATTTGAACCCAGACAATCCATGCTCTTAACCACTAGTCTATCTACTGAGTATAATCTATATGCCAGGCACTGTTTAAGACACTGGTGTTTATAGCAATGAATGAAACTCAAGTTTTGCTACTGAAGCACTTACATTCTAATGGGGGAAAGACAGATTATAGAAGAATCAAAACATGCTAATATAAGTGTTGAGCAGAAAAGCAAAGCATTATAAAATAGCTGAGGGGGATTGGGATCTTGCCCTTGTATATAAAATAGGAAGGGAAAGCCTCTTAGATAAGGGACACTTGAGTGGAGGCCTTAATGAGTTGAGACAGTGAGTCATGAATTTGTGTAGCAAGAGCAGTCTTGGCATGCAAAGTCCCACAGCATAGAAGCCAATGAGACTGGAGTAGAACAAGTTGGGGATAGTGAAGGTGTGGTAGATGATGTGGTCAGAGACGTGGTGGATCCTGATCTTGGGTTTTATGGGTCACATTAGGACTTTTTCTTATACTTGGAATGAGTGGGCATATCAGTCAGAGTCCCAACGGAAAACAACTGACACAGATGAGGACAATTCAAGGAGATTTTTAATAAAGGGGTTACTCACTGCATTGTGGACAGGATGTAGGGAAACCACAAGAAATGTTTGGTACCTAGTAGCTGGTAAGGGCAGGGCTCTATTAACATCCCTGAGCCTGAAAGGACAAGAGAAGGGAACAATTACTGAAATCCAGAGACAGGAGAGAACTGCATTCCAGGAGCTGGGAGGTAAGGGGTAGCATCCAGCCCCACATTCTGCAAGAAATAGCCAAAGCTAGACTTCATCTTCTTTCATCCTTCTGATTTCATGCCCAGGCTCCCCATTGACCAAACCCAACCAGAGGCCATAAGGCAAGGAAGCCCATTGATGTAGTTCATATTGGTTAACGTTACTAGTTCAACAAGGTAGAGAAAGTGGGTCCACTGGGGCAAATGGAAGCTATCCAGAACTGTTCACTGCTTTTGCTTCTCAGAATCTACTCTGAATTCTATCAGTTACTGTACTGTCTTGGGTACTGTCAAAGCATTGATGCTCCCACCTATAGTCTAGAACAGTTGCCTTCACAAGTGTTCATATAAGATGGGTCGTGGGCTCTTGGGAGGAAAGCACACAAAATAACCCAAAAGCTCTAGTTTCCAGAGGGGGAACACTTGCCAGCAAAGTAAGGGTCCCACTGACCTTTACGATTGCTATGAGACCAGCACCTGAGGAAAGAAGTCACCCTGGCTTCTGGCATAGGTGATCCTGTGCCAGAAGATGTGGGGCTTCTGTTGTACCGTGAGGGCAGAGAAGACATTTGGCACTCAGGTCCTTTGGGATGTCTCCCCAATTTTGTTGATAAGTAAATGTAGCATCTGTATCCTGAGACGGGCATGTTGACCAGGTGTTCAGACTCAGGGGTGAGGATCTGGATCATCCCTCCAAGTAAGCTACCTAGTCCAGCAGAGGTTGTAGTCAAGGGTGAAGGGAAACTAGGATGGGATAGTAGAAGTGAGAAAAATGATTAAGTATCAGTTGCAGGGTGCCTGGGTGGCTCAGTCAGTTGAGTGCCTGCCCAACTCTTGATTTCAGCTCAGGTCATGATCTCAGGGTTGTGAGCTCAAGCCCCGCATCAGGCTCTGCGTTCAGCATGGAGTCTGCTTGTTTCTCCTTCCCTCTCTGCATCTCCCCCGACTTGTGCTCGCTCGCTCTCCCTCTTTCTCTCTCTGTCAAATAAAATCTTTTTAAAAACAAAGTATCAGTTGCAACACCGTGAAAATCTGTTGTTGAGAGCTGTCTATAATTTGTTCTACCGATCTTCCTCTTGAAAGTTTCTCCAAGCAAGATGACTAACCAGAATCCTGTGTGCATTCACTTTTAAGAAGCAAGTGCATCCTACTGGGTATTTACCCCAAAGATACAAATGTAGGGATCCGAAGGGGTACGTGCACCCCAATGTTTATAGCAGCAATGTCCACAATAGCCAAACTGTGGAAAGAGCCAAGATGCCCATCGACAGATGAATGGATAAAGAAGATGTGGTATATATATACAATGGAATATTATGCAGCCATCAAAAGGAATGAGATCTTGCCATTTGCAACGACGTGGATGGAACTGGAGGGTATTATGCTGAGCGAAATAAGTCAAACAGAGAAAGACATGTATCATATGACCTCACTGATATGAGGAATTCTTAATCTCAGGAAACAAACTGAGGGTTGCTGGAGTGGGGGGTGGGGTGGGAGGGACAGGGTGACTGGGTGATAGATACTGGGGAGGGTATGTCCTATGGTGAGAGCTGTGAATTGTGCAAGACTGTTGAATCTCAGATCTGTACCTCTGAAACAAATAATGCAATATATGTTAAGAAAAAAAGAAAAAGAAGAAGATAGCAGGAGGGGAAGAATGAAGGGGGGGAATCAGAGGGGGAGACGAACCATGAGAGACGATGGACTCTGAAAAACAAACTGAGGGTTCTAGAGGGGAGGGGGGTGGGAGGATGGGTTAGCCTGGTGATGGGTATTAAAGAGGGCACGTTCTGCATGGAGCACTGGGTGTTATGCACAATGAATCATGGAACACTACATCTAAAACTAATGATGTATGGTGATTAACATAACAATAAAAAAATTTTTAAAAAGAAGCAAGTGCATCCAAGTGACATAAGTGTTGGGCCATAATGAAGACAGTGGTATATTTCTCAGATTATTCTTTCAGGACTAAGTCACTCATTCCCCTAGCTGCTGGAAATGTTTTAATGGCTCGTCTTGCCATTCTCTCAGTAATTCTCTTGGGCCAAAGAAAGTGCCACACCTAAGATTAATGTCCACCTTCAAGGGGCAGCCCAATTCCACGGACTCGTTCATATGAGGAGTACAAATGCCCAATTCCTTTGCCTCAATTTGTGACACTCCTGAAGGGCCACCCCTGCTCCAGAACTCCCCATGGGATCAACTGTTACCTCTGATTTTAACTTATCAGTGTTCAGTCCCTTATTCTGCCCAATCTTGGTTCTCTCCTTTAGACATGGTTACCTCAAGCAAATGACAAACTTTTTGTCCTAAAGTTTTATTTCTTCATCTGTAAAATAGAAACAATGGAATGCCTACTTTGTAGATTTGTATTAAGGACTCAGTAACATATGTAAAGCATTTATGAGACTTCCGGTATATAGGAAACATTTCATTTTTATTATAAATTAATTAAAATTTATTGTAGGAATATACTGAGCAAGATAAGCCACACAAAGAGTAAATACTATATGAATCTATTTGTATGAATTTTAAGAATAGCAAAACAAAATCTGTGATAGGAAAAAAATCAGAATAGTGGTTGCATCTAAACTCAGGTTGTGGGGGCAAGGGATAAGGAGCAGGGATTGACTGAGATGTGACATGAGGGAACTTTATGGGATGAAGAGAATGTTCTGTATCTCAAGAGAAGTATAGGGTACGTAAGTGTATGTATTTGTCACAATGCGTTAAACTATACACTCAAGATATGTACATTGCATTGCATGTAACTTGTACCTCAGTTTGATTTATTTTGCTACGTGAAAGCAGCCAGATACAAAAAACCATGTATTGTATGATTCCACTGTATGGCATTTGGGAAAAGACAAAACTCTAGGGAAGGACAACAAATCAATGATGTTCAGGGGCAAAGAGTAAGAGAAGGGAATGCCTGCAAAGGGGCAGCAAAAGGAATTTGGGAGTGATGGAATTGTTCTCTCGTGACTGTGTTGATAGATACACAACTCTATGCACTTGCCAAAACCTATAGAACTGTACACTGTGAAGAGTGAATATTATTGTAAGTTAAAAAAAAATAATAATCTGCCAGGTAGCAGAAGGAATGTAAAATAGGATAAACTATAACAAACAAACCTAACTGTATTACAAATGAATAACATAATCACAAGGAAGAAATCCAAATTTACTTTGGAAAGCTGTATTTGACCAGATATGTAAGGCTGACTACAAAAAGAGTTGTCCAGAAATCCTCTACTTTAGTTCAAAAATTTGTTCCTTAGAATTTTGTGGATTAGTGATTGTGAAATTATTTTATGTGCATATTAGGGTTGAACAAGTAAACATGTTGTAGATCATGAAAGCCGGCTTCTTCTCACTGTCCAAGAGAAACGTTACAAACAAGGAAAGAGACAAGACTAGAATAAATACTGTGGTGTTTGATTGGATTGGAATTGGAGGTAGGAGTATGAGTTCATGATTTTTGATAGGTGGATAGAGATTGTGTGTGTGTGTACACATCCATATATTTTCATGGCCTGTCAGCTAAGTCACTCAGAAGGCCTAGTAGCAATGACAGTCCAGTAGGAATGAGAATACTTATTGCCTACCCCGATCTAGGTTTCTAAAATACTATTCTTGAAGAAGAGGAGGAGGAGAAAGAACAAGAAGAACCAGGGCTCTTTGGAGAAATGGGGGCTGTCATAGGGAATATAGAACCCAATCCTGAAATATCTTGAGTTTTTTCTAATGGAAAATAAAGATTGACAAAGAAGAAGCCCCAAAAATCTGCCTAAAAATTTCCCTCAGGTCCTTAAATAATACCTAAGCTGTGCACGTACAGGGGAAGACTCTAGGAGGCTTCGAAGAGAGTAGCTATTGAAAGCTGAAGGTTATGCA